TTCCTGCATTAACATATGCCTCAGAGACCTGGGCCCTACGCAAACAAGATGAGAACGCTATTCAGGTCTCCCAAAGAAGAATAGAAAGAGCTATGCTTGGAATATCACGTTTCACTCAAATGAGAGAAAGAATCCGGAGTTCTGACATCCTTTGACGATCAAGAATCAGGGACGCTGTCTCATTTGCCAAGGTGTCAAAAATCAGATGGGCTGGTCACGTAATGAGATTTAAAGACAACCGCTGGACTAGAGCTGTTACTGACTGGATTCCATGGGATGTCAAAAGACCGTGTGGCTGCCCACCTACCAGATGGTCAGACTTCTTCATGAAGATCATGAACGATCGGTTTGAGGCTCTTCGTGTTCCTAGAGCGAACAGATGCCATTGGGCTACACTAGCACGTGACAGGGACAAATGGAGATGTTACTGGCGCCCGCTCGAGCAAATCGATGATTAATGGGAAGTCAAGTGATCAAGTGATATTGAATTGCTAGCCTGGTTGGTTAGAATTTTTGGGTGGGTCAGGACCTCTTGAGCACTACTTAGAGTCTCCCCCACCATTGCAACAAGAACAAAAACTACAGAATCTCAAGTATATTAATCTTTAGTATATTTGGTAGTATAATTTTGCCTTACATTAATATGGGGGCTGGAGCGATAGCACAGCGGGTAGGGCGTTTGCCTTACAAGCGGCCAACATGGTCGACCCGAGTTCTATTCCTCTGCCCCTCTCGGAGAGCCCGGCAAGCTACCGAGAGTATCTCGCCCGCACGGCAGAGCCTGGCAAGCTACCCGTGACATACTCGATATGCCGAACACAGTAACAACAAGTCTTATGATGGAGACATCACTGAGCCCGCTCGAGCAAATCGATGAACAACGGGAGGACCGTGACCGTGACCGTAGATTAATATGACTGTTAATAACTGGAATAAATCAGTTTGAACAAAAGACATTTAAAATATTTTATTGGTTTCATAGAGGTGGTAGAAACAACAAAAATGCAAATAGTACAGCCAACTATTCAAAGGAATAGATAATGTTACAGAATTGAAACAAAGCAAACAGGATTTAAAAAAAATTTATTGATTCACTGTGAGATATAGTTACAAGCTTCCATGTCTGAGTTACAATCACACAATGATCAAACATCCATCCCTCCACCAGTGCACATTCCCCACCACCAATATCCCCAGTATAGCCCCAAAGTAAACAGGATTTAATTTATTCAGGTCCCTATTAGTATCTGAGACATGGAACTGTTAGCAGAAGAACTTATGTGATACCGGGGATCTGAACCAGGATTGCATCTGAGGCAGTTGCGTGCAAGGCATGTGTCTTGATGCCTGCACTCTCCCTCTGCTTCCCTGGCACAGCCCCCATATTAATCTAAGGCGAAATTATACTACCAAATATACTAAAGATTAATATACTTGAGATATTTAGGTTATCTAAATCTGTTGTGGTTCCTACTTTCCTTACATTAGGCAATATTACCTTACACATTGTGGGCTCTCAGTGAAGACTGATTGACAATGAGGCTAGCTTAAGCTTAGAGTAGGTGAAATGTTTTTCCAGAAAAAATACTTTTAAGAAGGATGGCATTTGTTCTAAGGCTACTATCAATTTATATATCGAAACTGCCAAATGAACAGTCCTTTTACATTTTCATACTAGCGTATGAAAATTTTCATTAGACTTTAGTAAGCCTATTCACACTTTTCCTTGGCAGCAAGCTAGACAACGCACACATGCACACTTCCTTTCCCTCTATTTTCATCTTGCTGTTAACTTTATGGAGTTCTTTAATGTTTTATGATTTGGGAAAATAATCAATATTATTCTTTTCCGTTATATTTATTTGGTGATTCTTTCTTGGCACACTCCCATTCATCTCCCCCTTCTGAATGCTCAATGGCAATAGATTGTTTCCATTAAATTTCTCAGAAAATCAGCTCAGGTGACTGACTTTAGGTTATCCTTTGTGCTCCATACCTGATGGAGAGTTCTTTTAGGATAAAGCATGCAGATTACCAATACAATGCAACAGACATGTTATAGAATCCTTTTTCTTCATTCACATCAATAATGTCTATCTCCTCTCTGTCTAGAAGGAACTTCTCATGGTCACAGAAATAATCAAGGCACCAACTTAGAGCTCAAGTTTGGAATACAGATCTACTCAGTTTTAATTTTTAAACAACCATAAAATTGTTAGGATGCATGAAATAACTTATTCATTTCCTTTGGGGTTTAGCTTTTCTACTGATTTAATATTAATTATTACATAGCTTATTCCCTAACTAAAAGTATACCTTTGTGATTATCACTTCTTCAAATATTTTTTATTAAGGTAGCTTGATTTACAAAGTTATTCATGATTAAGTATCAGGCATACTATGTTCTTACACCAATCCCATCACTACTGTCCACTTCCTTACATTAATGTCCCCAGTTTCCCTACAACCTGCCAGACTGCCTTTATGACAGGGACTTAAAAATTTAGGCACTGTGGTTTACAAAACTGTTACTGATAGTTTTTCATGCACAACACATTTCAGATTGCCATCACTTCTGTGTTTTAAGACTCCTTGCATTAAAAGTTGAGATCAGAAATTCTCATTTAAAAGATGTTGGAGTAAAATATTTCAAGTATTTAGCATGGTATTAGAAGTATTTCTTCATGGCACCTTATATATATTTATGCATGTGGGCGTAAACAAAACAGTATTTTAATAATCATAAATAAGAATATATCTTTCTGATGCCTTAATTAAAGGTTAAAATTTTGATGCATCAAATTTGAAAGTGTTTTGCAAAATTAATCAAACAGCCTTCTAAGGAAGGATTTTTTGGCAGGAGTAAATATTTTACCAGAACCTTTTTTGTGGAGGGATTTCAGTGGAGGCTTTTTCAAAGGTAGTGCTCTTTTGGGGGTTTGCAATGCTCTCGCTATCTCCACATGCTCATTGCAGTAATACTTGTTGCTTCCTTCTGACAGCTGGATGAGTGTGCGCTCTGCCAGATCCATACACTGGGCATGGACCCAGTGTCCATCTCCATGAGAGCAGTAGATCATAGCAGGTTTGTTGAGCTCAGTTGAATAAAATGGTACCCAGGTGTTAATGTCCACATCACAAGTAGAGCAGCAGGTAATCCAGTAGCCTGTCTCTGACTCATCTTCCTCATCATCTTCATTATAGGCATCAAATTCATCATCACCATCAAAACTATATGCTTCTGCACTAAAACAAAATTCTTCAGAATCTTCAAAGGGAGTGGAGTCGCCTGGGTCTTCTGTTGATGTCTGACTATTTGTGAGTGCTTTTTGATCCTCATTCACATCATCCTCAGCACATTTCAACATGTAGAAATAGTAAGCTTCTGAAACTGCCTGCTTATTGTCTCCTGGAATGCCGAAGAAGACAGTTCCATTTCCCATGTTGCTTCCAAACCATATCTTGCTGTGCTTAATATCCGGGGTCCAGTCTGGAGTCTCCATCTCACTAATTTCTATCTTGTTATCCTCTAAAGACACGATATTGCAAACCATTCTTTTTTGATTTTCGAGTTGATAACCACCAACAATAATAAATTCATCATTGCTTGTTTGAGTCAGTATTGCGCTGGAAACTGAGATTCCTCCTGGCAAGACTGTGCAATTCACAGCTGGGCTACCCAGGGGCAGATCAACCTTTATTCTGTACAGGTTGGCTGGGCGAATGTTATTGGAAAGTGAATGTCCTCCTAAAATATAAACGGTATCTTTTCTGGCAATTGAGACATGAAAAGATAGTCCATCTTGAAGTTCTGGAAGAATGTATGATGTAGAGCATCCAAATTCAAAATCCACTAAGAAAACATGAGGTGGGCAGTCTGCCACAGTATTCCATTTTTCTGTGATTCTTTGTGCAGAAGGCATGTACGAGCGCCCTCCAAAGAGAACACCCATAGTTTTGCCTCGACTATATACCATATCAATGGAATGACCATATCTGGCTTCAGGAATATCTCCTACTAAGTCTTTCTCTGTACAGCAAAAAGTAACTTTTTTGTTGTTCTTGCAAACAACAGATATGATATATATCTTATCTGAAAGCTCATTGTTTGGTGTTTTCCCTCCATGAATGATGTATTGATGTTTTTCAGACTCCAGGTTGCCTTTGAATAGACAAATGGCTGGGTAGCGAAGAGGAGGTAGGTAGCAGGAATCCTTGGAGAAAAATGCAGGCTTCAGCTTTAGATTGTTATGCTTTACATCAAAATGGAATACTCCAGTGGGGCAGGATCTCTTGGGCCAACCTTTTTGACCAAAGAAAAAAACTTGCCCATCAAAATTCATCAGTGAGAAGCCTGGTTGAATTAAGGCCATGCTATTACTTACTGTTACCATCTGCAGGGACATGGTTTCTGATGTGTTTAGGTCTTTTATCTGAAAATATTTAAGAAAAAAGTCATTTAGATGACTTTTTTGGCTCTTTCTTTCTTTCTTTCTTTCTTTCTTTCTTTCTTTATTACTTTGAGATATACAATTAAAAAGTTATTCATGGTTCCAATACCCATCCCTTCAAACTCCCCACCACCGTAGGAATTCTTCATATAAATCACTATGCTGAGATTCCTTCTCAGGTTAAAAAACATTACGGAAAAACAGGTTCTCCCACAAGCTTAACAGAGGGACAGAATTAGCCAAACACAGGAACAGAATTAAGCAAAACACAGAAAGCCAGGAAAGCAAAGAGCCCCAGAACCTTTCTACCTAATTACAATCTAAGCAGCTGGGTCATGTTTCAGAAACGGACTGCCTGCCCGTAGATTTCTGGGAAGTGTAGTCCGTTTTTCTTAACAATTCACTACTTATTAGCAGAAAGAACTACACTTCCCAGGAAGCTGTTTCCCTTGGGCACGTCTTGGCTCCAATAGTTTATTATTCCGGAAAAGGAGTCTCCCCCCCCACCCCCCCAATCCCCCCACCCCAGATGTCTCAGTCCAGGACACTCAAAAGTGCGAAGTGACTGGATGGGAGCCAAGGCGGAAAAGTGGGGAATGGGAGGTGAGAGTGTCCGCAGACCCCACATCCGGGTTCCGGGAGGGCTGCAGCACCTGGAGGTGCGCCTGGGTGGCCGGCGCCTTTCCCTGAGACACTTAAGGAGTGACCCAGTAGGGAAAGTGGCGTTGCCTGGAAACAGCAGGAGGAAGGGACGCCGGGGCTCGCAACTCCCGAGCATCCTTCAGTTGCTGGGGGCTGGATGGGACGGCGGTTGCTGGGATATAGGTGGGGTGGCGTTAAAGGGGGCATCAGTTTTTCCAAAAACGACGACAAAATCGTAAGCTCCGTTTCCGAATACTTCAAGTGTAGGGGAAAAACAACTCGATAATACCACTCACCACTCTTGCAGGTGCTCTTGCCCGTGTTTTTAGGGTTCTCTAGGCAAGCAGGAGTTTCTAAACACCTTTCCCCGCCTCCTTCTATCCCTCCCTCTTCCCTTTCCCACTTTGTTCGCCTGCTTTCTGCATAATAATCACTGGCTACTATTTTAGATGCCTCTTTTAGCCCTATGCACCTAAAAGAATTCTTTAGTAGTGTAGGAAACGGGCACTAAGCAGAGAGGCGCGACGTTTATTTGAGATTTAATATTTGTATTATGTATTTTAAGCTAGAGATTTAGGAGGTGGTGTCAGCTTGATACTTTATTTGGTTTTTATTCGTACTTACCTTCGATAAAAGGAGCCTTGATGAGAAATACACTCCCTGTTTGCAGAGTGATGTCCTAGCATCAAAGGCTAAAAAAAAAAAAAAGATACCACAAATTCCTTGACTGTTACAACTACAACAGTAAAGTGCAGTAAAGTGTTAATGTTTAAAACAGCTTATAAACAGTATAAACAGTGTAGACATTAAGTTTAGAACTTGGTTAAGAGGAATGTGAATTATGAAGGCTGGCTGGCTGTGCGCATGTACATACTAGGCTGCATCTGTGTTATTATTTTTCTCATCAGTAATAAGAGCTCATTTTTTCTCTCTCACAAGTTGATGTAAGTTACAGGTAGTTCATACACATAAGACTTTTAGAGCATGGCTTCTACTAGTTGTGGGATAGTTCTTATGATTATGCTCAAGTAATTATATAATATGTGATAGTAATAATATTAGTATTAATTAGTATTGATAATATTACTGTTATACTAATAGTAGAAATACCAGTCACAACAGATGCTATTTATCATGTTGTGGATGATTAGAATGGCTGCAGGATCTCTGAATCTGCTTAGTGGGTACAGATGGATGATTTTTTTTTCAATCAGTGAGAATTTGAGAAGCATATGCCATGCAGGTGTTGGTGCAGGAAATATTCCTCTGATCCCTCATTAAGTATGCAGACTCAGTACTTGGTTTGTCTAAGTCTAAATCGAAATCTAAGTCTGAAATAAAATTATTTTATTTATTTTTCTTAGCTGAAAATGGGAATAATATTACTATTGCATTCTTCATTGGGTTGTTTGAGGAATAAGGTGGTCAATCAAATAGTACAGTGCCTGGCATATAAAAAGTATTCAATGAATGTTAACTGATACCTAATTAATTTTTATCCTCCCTGTGGAAGTTCCTTGAACCATTTAGAGTCCATGGTTACTTTAATGAGATGTTGGTGGGGTGCAGTGCCTTGAAGCACTCCTGTAGGTCAGAAGTTAATGGTGAATATTTTCTTATTATCTTTCATTTACTTGAGAGATTTTTCAAGGTGTGCTATTTTAATGAGTATTCTGTGGGATATTAAACTAAGTGATGGAACAGTGAATGGGGAAGGTTCCTACTAATGTTATGAAAGTACATCTCTCCTTCTGACCTTGGTGGCTTACAGGTTCAGTATTTTGTCCTGCTTATGAAGTATGTAGACAAATGTTTCTTTCATTTTTGGCCTATTCAAGGATACATAAGGGAAGGCATCTGTGCAGGTAAGAAAATGTTCTCCTATGATACTAAAAGGAAACATTGTACCTTCATTCAGTCAAAATGCAGTTACACTCATCATGATGTATGATGTTTGTCAGAGTTGCCTTCTTTTGGGTGGAGGAAGTGAGAAGTCAAACCTGCTTTTTAAACTCCTGCGAGGACTGTTACAGGGATATAAAGGGAGCCATAACCCAAGGGATAAACATACACATAGATGATGTTACCCCTCCAGCCCCCACCCTCCTAGGGCCACACCTGATGATGCTCAGGGGACCATTTGGGATGCCAAGCATTGAACCCAGGTCAGCTGCGTGCAAGATAAATACTCTGCCCACTGTACTAAATCAGAAAACTTCAAAAACTAAAAAAGTCCTCATTAGTAGCTTTTGACGTATTATTTTAAGGTTCTTCATTTTAAGGTTGCCAGAGGGTTTTGGCTTTTTTTTTTTTTTTTGTTAGTGAACACATGATGATTGTTAGATTAAACAGAAACATTTTCTTGGGCAATACATAAAGAGTATTATAATTTTTATAGTTTCATCCATAAAGATTTCTGATTTCTTGGCCAGGCTTCTCCAGATGATAATCTGCTATTAACTCACATCATAATTTTGAAGCCCTAAAGATGGTGGCAATTTTTATTACTGTTAAGATGAATTAGATCCTCTCATAATACTCTCCAGCAACTTAATTTTTGGATTATTCACTTTAAAGCCCTACTGATTTATATATTTGAAGAATAATCAGACCATTAGACCATTTCCCCATTATTTCCCACATCTCTCTAAGTTTCTGAGACATTTGCTTGACTAGCTTAAATATGTTTCCACTGATTTAAAATATGACATATCTTCTTTGGCTTTAATATAAGTGTATTAAATCATTTGTTTTTTAAAAATAGTTTTAAAAAGCTTATACTAGAACTAAAATAATCCAGTCAATTATTTTTCTTTAAATAGGCTAGATAAAAACAGGTAGATTTTGAAAAAGTCGACACTTCTTCAACCGAAAGAAGTTTCAAAGTCAGCACATAAAAGATTCTTTTAAAAAGACAGATATATCGGGCCAGCAGTTATACAATTTTCCCAGCCCCGTGCTAACAACCTGCAGTAAGGTGATTTTCATTTATTCTCTGTGAAGCCAGGCCACAGCTGAGACTCAAAAGAGGGCTAACGGTGTAAGGTCTGGGTTTGTACGTTCCTGTGTCTGAACTGACTTTTTTCTTTCTTTCCAAAGAAAGTTACTGTACTCTGGACATTTCTTACTCATCAGTGTTGCTCATGTTTTCCTGACTGGTCCCAAATAGCTCATATTCTCTATAGTTCATATCCTCCGGTTACTGCTGTCATTGAATGCTCGAATTAATACTCTCTTGCAAAATCAGGTTACCACACTATTTTTTCTTTCTTTTTTTTTTTTTTACTGGCAGTGAAACCAGGAAATCAGGATTAGGTAGTCTTCCTGATTCTTAGGCTAGCTCAGCATTTATGCCATTGAGCTAAGTCCATGAACTCTGATGCTACGGGAGTTAAATTTTGTTTGTTTGTTTTTGTTTTGGATCACACCTGGCAATGCTCAGGGGTAATTCCTAGGTCTGCACTTAGAAATTACTCCTGGCAGTGCTGGGGGAACCATGTGGGATGCCAGGGATTGAACTCTGGTTGACTATGTGTGAGGCAAAAGCTCTACCTGCTGTACTTTTGCTCCAGCCCAGAATTAAAGTTTTGCAGCACTCCTAAGACCAAAAAGTCCCACAGTCTCCATATTCTCCATCAACCCTTTCTCACCTGGATACCCAGTCCAGCGGTACTAACACATTGCTGGAGCAGGGAGGCCAAATTTACACATGTAAGCTTCCATCTTTTAAAAGCTTTGTTAGAAATGAAAGGTATTGGACCTACCTGCAGGTCAGAGGGGCTGCTCAGTCCCTCTCTGAATCTTTGCAGCTAACCCAGGCACTAAATGTCAGCTTTTGCAAGGGAAAGTCACTGCCCAGTCTTACTGGCAAGCAGAAGGCAGGAGAGAGAGAGTCTGTGTCTGCCTACAGATGTTCAGAGACAGGCGTCTAGTGGGAGTAACTGACTGTGACCTCTTTTTTTAAATTTTTTCTTTAGATGGTTGAGGGAGATAGACACCAGAATGTGCCCTCAAGATTTAACTATTTCCTTACTGGTGGGAAACATAAACACAACCCACTACTATTCTTCTGCTATGACACACAAAAATTGTTGAAATCTGAATGATACTACGATATTTTTATTGAAAACATTTTAGAAAAACAATAAAATGAATGCAACTGTGATTCCAGTAGATACTCTCGGGACTTTCATGGGAAATTGTTTTTCCTAAAGCAGAGATTATTTATACTAATGTCCATCATTTTGTCTGCAGATTGCTCTTCAGTGGTCCCGTAAAAAGCAAGATTTAGAAGGAAATAATTTTTAGAGGCTCACTTCCAGCTTTGTGTTAAGGGGTTGCTTGGTTATACTATACTCTGCAATGCTTCAGAAAATGGTCTTTGGTATCAAGGCCATCCATCCATCTAATTTCCTCTGCCAGCTCTGCCATTTTTCTATATAAAGTAGGCACAGTCCTTAGCGGTTTCTGTGTCTCTGAGATGGGGTAAAGAAGATACTCATTGTGGTGCCAGAGCAATAGTACAGCAGATACGGCATGTACCTTGCATGCGGCTGATCCAGGTTCAATCCCTGGCATCCCATATAGTCCCCCAAGTACTGCCAGGAGTAATTCCTGAGTGTGTAGCCAGGAGTAACCCCTGAGCATTGTTGGGTGTGACCCAATAAAAAGCAAAAAACAAACAAATACCGAAGATACTCATTGCAAAAGACTTGCAGAAATATTAATTGAATTGATAACTTTTAAAGTGCTGAGCCATGGAAGATAACCCCCTTTTGTTTTCATGACAAAAACTATGTTGATAGACTTTCTTGTTCCTTCAAAGTTTTATAAGCTAGGGAAGGATAAAGCAAAGGATTCAGAACATTTTTCAAGAGCTGACTTTATTTTAGATAGGTTTTAATTTTCAGAGCAGTTTTTTCTTTTTCTTTTTTTTTTTTTTTTTTTTTTTTTTTGCTTTT